CATCGAAAGGCCGGGGGATGCCTGGAGGCAGCCTGGAGGCATCGTGTGCGGTTGTGGGCGGCTCGGACGCCACAAACGAAGTGTCTGTCCCCGTAGGCCGGTCCTCCCGGAGCGTCACCGAGTCACACAGGGTTTGCTTTTGTTTGTTTTAGCATTTGACTCTCTTATTCCGCCGCCCGGTGCACCTCTCTGTGTCTCTCACCTGCCCGGCGGCGTCTTTCTCACACGTCTTAGCCGCGCGGGCCTATTTTCCCTGGCACGTCCGCAAACAACCACCACCGCGCGCACTTGTCGTGGTTCGCGTGTCATTTCATTTTCAAGTTTTTTCGACGTACTTGTAGTGAGAAACAGAAACATACACACATTTTCAGGCATCGACAGGCCTATAGGTGAGCATGTGCGTTCTTGCTTGCATACCTCCGGTCCACGCTTCCAATGCGCGCGCGTGTGACTGTGTGTGTGTTTGTCAGAGAGAGAGAGAGAGAGAGAGAGAGAGAGAGAGAGAGAGAGAGAGAGAGAGAGAGAGAGAGAGAGAGATAGAGCAGATAAAGCCTATTATCGATGCCACACACCGAGCTGGCGTCTCATAACAATAACTAAGCCAAAGTGTCATCCACACGTCACAGACACTCGACTCCATTCACAGTGCGGTGTGCGGTTTGCAGACTTGCAGTGTGGCAGCGCAAGCATCGCACACAGCCTTTTCCCGAAAGCAATCCGCATTGTATTGTGGCGCGTCTGTGGCGTGTGTGCGCGGCCCGGGGCTGGGCCGGCCGGCCGGCCGAAGCGATTCAGAAGATCGGTTCGTCGCTCTGTCTCTCTCGCACCCTCACGGAGAGCCCCCTGAGTGCGAGAGGGAGAGAGAGAGAGAGAGAGAGAGAGAGAGAGAGAGAGAGAGAGAGAGAGAGAGAGAGAGAGAGAGGCTGCCTATGACGGCCCGGCACGCATTGTGTGGATGGAGCCGCAAGCCTACAAGGGTCTCGTTTGCTTTCGGCCGCGTTGCATCGCTTTGCAGTGCTTTGCAGCGCTTTGCATCGCACCACTTTTCTGCCCATTTCGCGGCTTCAATGAGAGTGCAGCGAGTCGTGTCCGACGTTTCGTTTTGCCCGTGGTTCCGTGTTGGCCCACATGGAGGTGTCCCTGCTGCGCTCCGACACACTCACTGTCTGCATCAAAATCAAAGCGAGCAGCCAAGTTACATAAGGTGACTTGATGTGCTGTATGGGGTCCAACTAGTCCAAACATGAAACAGCCACGACGGTTCATTGTAATGATGGTTCAAAACATGAAAAATGTTCTTGTGTGCCAAAAAGTTTCTTTTAGAAAGTTGTTTTGTAAAGAGTATGCCGAACTTGACCAATCCAGACCACGTTTTGAGTAGTACCCGCTTCCTTGTTGCTTGCAGGATGCCACATAACGTTCTCGGTTTGAAGGTATCATCTGCACCATACAGGGTGAGTTTTCTCAATGTGTCAATAATTTGTAGGTAGTTTGGGCACCCCAAGGGGATCATTTTCTACCAATGAACTAGTGGGCGCAAACGTCTAGGTACGGAGATAATTGGTGCTTTGTAATTGGCCTTCGCGCCTGCGAGGTAGGCACCCGCTGCCACTGATGGGCGCAGGACCTCACGTGGGGGTGTCGCGGGTCTAGGAGGGGTGCTTCGAGTCTCGAAGGGGTGCGGCGGACCTTGCAAATGTCGTTTGGGAGGGGTTGCCGCGGGTCTCAAGGGGCTGTCATGGTGGCCCCCGTTACAGTGGATCTCACGGCTGTCTTTGCGAGGGTGGCGGGATTCCACGGATACTTCCGCGAGGTAAGTGGCACTCCCGCGAGTACTGCTAGTCCCGCGACACCCACTCGACAGGTCCTACCACCCTCAGTGGCACCGGGTGCCTACCTTGTAGGCGCAAAATCCAAATTCAAAACACCAATTATCTCCGTATCTAGACGTTTGCGCCCACTAGTTCATTGGTGAAAAATGGTCCCCTACAGATGCCCAAACTGCCTGCAAATTATTGACACAGTGAGAAAACTCACCCTGTATAGCAGCGGCCGGGTGCTGCACTGTAAAAACTGTATCTGCGGTTTCCTCAGGAAGCCAATGGCAAAAAGATAGGCGATTTCCAGGCGGTTCCTGGGAAAACCAGGTACCGTTTTTACCGTGTGCATTCGAACTCGCGGCGTCTGCTTCGGCGGCGCGCTGGAGACCTGCACGCTGGGGGCAGGCCAAAGGTGCTGCAGCCTGATTCAGAGAGGCTTCGTCGCTCCGTTTCTCTCGCTCTGATAGGACGCCCCGTATCGATGCGAGAGAGACAGAGCGCCGACAGAATGACTCTCGGAATCAGTCTGCAGGGCAAGGGGCAGGCAGGGACGTCGTCGCCTCGTCTCGCCTAGTCACGATAAATCACGGGCGTGACGCGTGCCGTGCCGCGGTGACACGTGCGTGACACGCGGACACGACAGCCTGTCTTGTTTCGGCCGCCTCGGCGCGCGACATGTGTGCGGCACACTGTGCGCTGGCTTCAGGGGCCGCACGAGCCACGCCTCGCGGCACCGCCAGCAAAAAGCGCGTCGCGCAGTGGGCCAGAAGGCCGGTGGGGGCGGCCAAAACCCCGGACGCGTTTTGAGCTGCAGAGTCGCTAAAGAGGCCTCGAACCGAACGTGTGACCCCACCAATGGATTCCTCGTTCGGAGAGCAATCCATTGGTGGGGTCACACGTTCGGTTCGAGTCCCATTTAGCGACTCTGGAGCTCAAAACGCGTCTAGAGTTTCGGCCGCCTCCACCGGTCTTCTGGCCCACTGTGCGTCGTCGCCCCCCGTCTGATCGCATTCATTCCCCGCGCCAGAAAACATGGCGGCCGCGCAACGCCGCAACGCGTCTCAGCCGCGGGATTACACGTGGATTATCCGCGGCGCTCTATCCAGCGCCGCAATGCCGTCTGGAGCCTCCAGCGACGCGAGGCTCCACGGCGCGGCGGGGCCTCTAGTGGGCAGGCTGGGCGGAGCGGCGAGCCGGCAACGTGGCCGCCGTCTGTGGCTCCGCCTCCTCCCCTCCCCTCCCGCCGCGCTCCCCGGCCCCTCCCCTCCCGCGCCGCGCCAGGCCGGGGGCAGCCAGGGGCCCACGGCAGAATTCCGTGTAATGGCTCGCCCGGCTGAGGCCGCCGAGGCAGAGGCACCGGGACGGCCGGGTTTATCAATCACAAGGCCCGCCGCGCCGCGTCGCCCCACTATCACCACGCCCCGCCTTTGACGCCCCGCTGCCGCCGAGGCCCCGCTCCGCTCTCGTCGCTCTGTCTCGCTCGCACTCATGGGGCGGGCAGTGGGGGTGCGAGAGAGGCAGAGCGACGAGGGGCACCGTTGGGGCACTGCTTCAGGACGACGCCGGTTTCCGGGCGGAGGGTCGTTTCGTTTCCGGGGCGAATCCGCGGCGGGGACGCCTCGGCCGGGGCTGAGGTAATCCGGGGTGCCGCGCCGGCCGTGGCGAGCCGCGCCGTCTTTGTGCCGCCCGTCTCCATTTTGTTGCGCCTGGTCTTGGTCGGAATTCATAAATTGGAATGAGACTCCAGCAGCGGCCAGGCCGAGCTCCATGGAGCCTCCAGGCTGCGGGCTCCAGTACACTGATTCCGAGAGTCGTTTTCGTCGCCCTGTCCCTCTCGCACCTTTACGGGACGCCCCAGTAGTGCGAGAGAGACACAGCGACGAAAGACTCTCGGGATCAGGCTGCAGGGGCTCCAGGCACTGCCAGCGCGCCTCGGCTCCAGGCAACGCTCCAGACTCCTCCGTGGCGTGCCAAAGTGCCTCAGTGTGTGCCCCGCCGGCCTCGCCCCTCGCCGACCGCAGAACGCATTTTCATAGCGACGCTGTGCCTCGCTGCTTCGCCATTCTTATTTGCCAGGGATGGATATAGCACGAGTGATATTGCCTCCCCCGCGCCTCGCCTCCCTCGGCTAGCCGGCAGGCGCGGTACTAACTGTAGACTCGCCCTGTCTCTCTCGCACCTATCCGGGATGCCTCTTAAGTACGAGAGAGACGGAGCGACCGAAACAACTCTCGGAATCAGTCTGCTGCAAGGATTATTGGCGTTCTCGTCCGTCGTGTAGTGGATGCATGTCCCCCTATTGACCGCAGCTGTCACAATCTTGCCCTGTCACCTCTGCGGGGTGCGGAAAAGGGGGGGGGGGCAGGAAGTCGCCGTGAATGGCGCGTCCGCAGCAAAGGGCGCCGCGGAGAGAAATTGTGCCGCGCGAAAAAGAATGGGTGTAGTGCGTTTGAGTTTGAATGGGGAGGCTGCCTGGCTGCGCGGCGCGGGGGCGGCGCGGGGGCGGCGGGGCGGCGGGACACCCTATCGGGCACCCTGTAGGGCCGCACGGCCAGCTCGCCCAGCTCGGCCACACGCCCCCCGCTGGCCACTTGAAAGGGAGGCACGACTTGACGACTCGGCTCGCCCTGCCTGCATGCTGCCTGCTCGGTCGGCCCGGTGTGCCGCAAAGGCGTCCGACCCTCGGGTCGCCTCGACCTCACCTGGTGCACGGCACTGCGAGGCACTGCAAGGACGACCCTGCCTGCTATTATGTTCCCTAAAATGGTGTTGTGTTTGTTGGGTCAACAGTCAAGCCGCCCGCCTGCCTGTAGTCCGGAACAGAGGGGCCGCGCTGCCTCGCTCGCGCACGGCCAGCCAAAAGGCGGCCAGCCGACAGGCAGACAGCCGACAGGCAGCCAGCCAACAGGCAGCCAGCCAACAGGCAGCCAGCCAACAGGCAGCCAGCCGACAGGCAGCTATTCGACAGGCAGACAAACGGCAACCCAATTCTGTAATGCTGGTAATCACACAAGCCGGCGCCCTGGGGACCTCCTGACACTCGGCTTCGACAGCTGCTGCCTTTTCGCGCGCCAGGCGGCGTGGGGACGCGAACCCGGGCCCTCAGACTGCCAGCTCGCCGCGCAAGCCCCTCGGCCACGACGACATAGACGACACTAACGTTTGCCTTTTCTGTTCCAGAGGTGCAAGGAGAAGCTCAACACGCTGGCCATCTCCGTGATGAACCAGTGGCCCGGCGTGCGGCTGCGCGTCACGGAGGGCTGGGACGAGGAGAACATCCACGCCACCGACTCGCTGCACTACGAGGGCCGCGCCGTGGACGTGACCACGTCGGACCGCGACCGCTCCAAGTACGGCATGCTGGCCAGGCTCGCCGTGGAGGCGGGCTTCGACTGGGTGTACTACGAGAGCCGCTCGCACATCCACTGCTCCGTCAAGTCAGGTGGGTTATCAGCCCTATCGGGCCAACTAAGACGTCGTTGCGTCGTTAGTGGGACGCATGCCGGCCGCGCACACGCACACACACACACACACACACACACACACACACGCACACACACACACGCACACCGGGCAAGCAGACGGCCTTGGATGTGCGCGGTGCGGCCCCCACCCCGCCCGTTTGGGCGTGATGTGACCCCCCAGCGCCGCCATCTTGATTCCGGTGCAGCCGACCTCTCTCCCTCCCCCCCCTCCCTCCCTCTCTCTCTCTCTCTCTCTCTCTCTCTCTCTCTCTCTCTCTCTCCCAACAAATTCTTGTTAACTTACGCCCATTAAAGGGGCCCCATTACAGTCCAACATGCCGTCGGGTCGGGATGGGGCGTGGCGGGTGGGGTGGGGCGGGGCGGGGCCTACCTTTCTCGGGCCGCTGCAACACGGCGTATGCATCCTGGCAGGGGGGGACTGCCTGCCTTGCTGCACCTCGCAAGATTTGCATACCTTTCGTTTCTTTTCGATGCTCGGCTCGCGAGTCGATAAGTCCAACTGGCCGTCCCGACACCACCCCCGCCTCGCCCACCTCCGATTCCTCGACTCTTTCTCTCTCTGTCTGTGTGTGTGTGTGTCCTGGATACTATAAAGCGAGAAAGAAGGCGGAAAAAAAGTGTTGGCTTGGAATATCCAATTTTGCAGAGGAGAGATTAGCCCCACAGCGCTTTGTGAGCAGCAGTGACTGCGCTAGGCCACGCTGGGCTGCAAGCTGGGCCGTACGCAGCGAGCAGCGAGCAGTGGGTCTAGCCCAGCTTAATGTAATCTCATTAACAGGACACGTCACATTCCTGCACAATTCATCTGCCTCCTGTCTTTTCTTTCTCTCTGTCTCTCTCACTCTCGTCCTCCTTTTGCCCCACTCTCCGTATAAGATATTTCCCCCACGGCTAATGTCCGAGGACGCCGAGGACGCCCCACGCACGTGCAGAGCGCCCCGCTCCCGCTCCCGCTCCCGCTGCCCCGCGCCCCGTTACAGTTCAACAACCCGGGCCGTGGCTGGGGCTGCGCCGGGCTGCCCGCGTGGAGGTCGTGCACTCCGCGACGCGCCACCCGCAGCACCAAAGTGAAATCCAACTATCCAACTAACCGCGGCTTTCTCGTTGTTGCAGAATCGTCCCAGGCGGCGCGGTCCGGCGGCTGCTTCCCCGGGCGCAGCGTGGTGCGGACGCCCGACGGCCCCCGGCCGCTGTCCGAGCTGCGCGTCGGCGACTCGGTGCTGGCCAGGGACGCGTCCACGGGCGGCCTCGTGTTCAGCGAGGTGCTCATGTTCATCGACCGGGACCCCGAGGAGCGGCGCCAGTTCCTGCGCGTGCGCACGGCCGGCAACCGCACGCTCACGCTCACGCCCACGCACCTGGTGCCCGTCGTGCGGCAGCGCCAGCGGCAGAGGCCGGAGGACACGAACCGCGTGGAGGACGCCGTCAAGGACGCCGCCACCAAGGACGACGTCGAGGTGGTGACGGAGTTCGCGGAGCGCGTGCGGCCGGGCGACCGCGTGCTCGTGCCGGGCGCCACGCGGCACGACCGGCTGGAGGGCGACGACCGCGACGACGCCGTGCTGGACGCGGTGGTGGACGTCCAGCTGGTGCTGGAGAGGGGCGTGTTCGCGCCGCTCACGCGCGCCGGCACGGTCGTGGTGGACGACGTGGTGGCCTCGTGCTACGCCGTGGTGGACTCGCAGCGGCTCGCACACTGGGCCTTCGGGCCGCTCCGGGTGTGGTTCAACCTCAAGGAGGCCGTGCAGAGGCTAGGCAGGGCGATGGCCTTGTCCGGCAAGGCCGCCAAACCGCCGCCCCCGCAGCAGGGCATCCACTGGTACGCCGACGCCCTGTACTCGTTGGCCAGGACCACGCTGCCCAGCAGTTGGCTGCACCAGTGACCGCGCACCGCGACGCCACGCCGCAACGCGCACCAGTGATATGCAAAGCTGTACAATCTTTAAGTAGGTTTTTATGTTGTTAATTTGTGACGTCGAAGCGAGGGGGCTCGGGGCCTGGGCCCTGGGCCTGCCCGCGGCCAGGGCGTGCCGGGCGTGCCGACCACACTGCCAGTCCGGCGGTTAGCGTCCGCTAACGTGCTGGATCTGCGTGACGTCGGCGCGGCGCGGCACGCACTGGTCGTGGCGGAGCAGCGGAGCAGGGCAGGCACCCGGATGCCGACGACTGACCAAAAAACCACGCGCCTCTAGGGCGCACAACCACAGGTTACCATGTCGACTATAAGATAGTTAAATTATGGTGTTTTACGTACCGGTACTCTTTTAATTTATATTAGATTTGTTTTGTTTTGTTTTCGAGTGAAAACAACTTTGTTCATATTGTGAAAAAGATAACTTATTTATTTCTATGTGATTTCGAAAAAAAAATGTTTGTAATTATTATTTATTGGATTGGTTTTTGGCGACGATGACGCCGAAGGCGGGGTGGGAGCCTTTGCGCGTGGTGTGGAATTGAGGACAAGAATTACTCAAGGGAAGCGCAGTACTGTATATGTTGGACACAGTGAGGCGTTTACCTGTTTAGGCTGATTCTGTTTTTAGAAATGTGTCCTTAAAATAAGTGAGATCTCCAAAGCTATGTGTGCTGCCCAAATGTTGTTTCCTATGTTGTAATGCTCATTAGAATTCTTCTTTTTAAGCAATTGTTTATATTTTAAAAAGAGATGAATTCTAATGCACTGTTTTTATCTCACTTTTTGCGCAACTTGTAATCGGCCTTTAATTTACCACTAGGGGTCAATCGATGAGACAAGATTACTATTTTTAGCAAAGATTTGTAGAGTGTTAAACAACTTTAGCATCATTGTTGAAGTTTATTGAATAATAGTCATTCTTTAGTCATTTACAAATAGAGCCATTTTTGTATTTATGTATTATGTATCATTGTAAAAAAATATGTACATTGTAATTTAATGAAAGATGATATCTTACCCAGAAAGTGATAGAGAAGACTTAAAATGTACATTTAAAAAGCAAATTTTGTTAAATTTGTAAGTAAAATTTGTATGTAAAAATGATTGGACTCAGCAGAAAGACCTAAAGTTAGTCCTGGCTGAAGATTTGTTAATGTTATCCTTTTCATCAAAGTCCTGTATATTTGGGTATTTAAAGGTCTGAAGTGTATTGTGCACAAATGTGCCATGTGGTATACCTGCTTTGTAAAGTAACAAATGTTAAATGTATTTTCCATCTACATATATATCTATTATCTCCATGAGAATTGAATCACCCCAAATTAATAATAAAACAAAATAATTGCCATATTACACGATTTGTTTGACTCTTCTCGAAGCCACCCCTCGACCCCCATGAGAAATGACTACAAGCCCAGATAAACAGCAGCGAAAACATCGCTCGCAAAGGCAGTGAAAAGGCGCACAGAAAACAGTTTAGGTTACAAAGGCGGCACACAATGAGTCGGTAAATGAGACTATCAAAGCGCAAAGGAAGCTAAAAGTTCGTTGAAGCATTCGCACACTTTTTTTTTTCGATGGAAGTGTGGATGAGCGCCGCATGACTGGGCACTGCGTTGCACTGCGTTGCACTGCGGCTCAGTGTCCACCACTTCCCGCATGAGCCGTGCCTCTTGTGCACACATACCGCGGCCGCATTTTGACTTCCGAGAACACGGCGGGGCGGGGCGGGGCGGGGGATGCCGCCGCAGTCAGCGCGCTAACACGAGCCGACACTCTATTCACGAAACGTGATAGAAAACAAGCAGGACAAGCACCGCACCGCAGGACCACCTCCTCGGCCAAGGGTGCCGCCGCCTCCAGCGGGCTGATTCCGGGCGGCGCTTTCGTCGCTCTGTCTCTCTCGCACTCGTGGGGCGCCCCGTAGAGGAGCGAGAGAGACAGAGCGACGTCGCCTTGCCCCTTGCTCGTGCGGCGCCGAGACAAAAGGGCGCGCCTCAAAGGCAAGGGGGCTCATTGTCGACCTCCTCGGCCTCCTCGGCGTGCACGCGAGCGGAGCAGCGCAGCGCGGCTGCGGCACTGCTAAACCCCGCCCCGCGTCCCTGGTCCTGGAGGTCCTGGAGGTCGTGGAGGTCCTGGAGGTCCTGGAGGTCCTGGAGGTCCTAGAGGTCCTGGAGGTCCTGGAGGTCCTGGAGGTCCTAGAGGTCCTGGAGGTCCTGGAGGTCCTGGAGATCCTAGAGGTCCTGGAGGTCCTGGAGGTCCTGGAGGTCCTGGAGATCCTGGAGGTCCTGGAGGTCCTGGAGGTCCTGGAGATCCTGAAGGTCCTGGAGGTCCTGGAGGTCCTGGAGGTCCTGGAGGTCCTGGAGGTCCTGGTGGAGGTCCTGGAGGTTCTGGAGGTTCTGGTGGAGGTCCTGGAGGTCCTAGAGGTCCTGGAGGTCCTGCACGGGACGTAATGCGATGCCTTTCCAGGAACGCGCCCCGGCTGCACCCTGCACCCCAAGCCAATGAGAGAGGGCGCCGACTGGCCCGCCGGTCTTCAGCTTGGCCGTGCTTCGCCGCCATGGCTCAACCGAGCGAGCGAAATGCCATTATGCGGGAATCAAGCGCTAGGCTAACACGGTTCGCAGTGTGTTCGCAGTGGCATGGGGGCGCGGCGCCCTCGGCTGTGCAGCTGCCGATCGAAAGCACAGCGAGGCAAAATGGCGTCCGAGCACTCCTCTTGCCGTCGCTCTGTCTCTCTCGCTCTCATGGAGCGTCCCGTAAGTGTGCGAGAGAGACAGCAACGAAAGCAGTGCTTGGAATCACAGGAGCAGAGCCACGTCATCGAGGCCGCGATGCTGGAGACAGGAGATCGCGTCCGCGCTGCAGCAGACTGATTCCGTGGGTCGTTTTCGCCGCTCGGTCTCTGTCACACTCTTAGGGGGTCCCGTACAAGTGCGAGAGAGGCAGAACGACGAAGACACACTCGGAATCAGTCTGAAACAAGCCGGCCGGCGCACAGTGGGCCAGAAGACCGGTGGCGGCGGCCAAAACTCTGGACGCGTTTTGAGCTCCAGATTCGCTAAAAGGGACTCGAACCGAACGTGCGACCCCACCAATGGATTCCTCGTTCGGAGAGCAAGTCATTGGTGGGGTCACACGTTCGGTTCGAGTCCTGTTTGGCGACTCTGGAGCTCAAAACGCGTCTAGAGTTTCGGCCGCCTCCACCGGTCTCCTGGCCCACTGTGCGTCGGCAGGCTCGTCGGCCGCAGAGCGCCCGGCGAGCGGCGGCGTCGGCAGCCCAACTGGCACGCGCGCCGCCGGGTTGCCTACCCGCCCGGCGCGCTGCTCTTGACTGCCGCTGACCGCCCCGCCTGTCGCGTCCGCTTGGAGTGGCGGCCGCGGGCCGCGGGGTTCTCGAGCGGCCAGATAGACGAGTGCGGCTGTACTCTGCCAGGCTGTCACTCTCACAACACCGCGGACGCGGCGGACCAGTACTTGCCCTCCAGGGCGTTCCAGGGAGGCTGTCCGACCGGGAAGGGCACGCGACGCACGTGCTCGTCCACCTCGTCAACGTCCAGGCCGAGTCCGAGCGGCGATCGACGGCCACGTCGAGCGGCACCACATCACCGGCTCGGCGTCCGCGTTGAGGTTAGTTCGCAGTTCGTCTTGGTCCCGGTCCACCACGGCGTCCGCTGCCGCTTTGCTACGCGCGGCGAGTCCACTCGGCTCGGGCTTTCCATGGCCTCGACTCGAGGCGCACGCCGTGCGGTGCGGGCTGCCCGGCATCCGCCACATCCGCGCACTCGCCGCCTTTGGCTTATTCGAGCGCCGCGTGCATGGCGTTATCGCTGCAGCGAATGCGGAGTGCAGCTTGAGGACTCATTAGGAAGGGACTCAATGGACTGATTTGGAGTCGGACGTCTCTCTCGCTCCCACGGGGCAACCCGCGTAGGTGCGAGAGAGAGGCCTCCCCACAGTGGGCCAGAAGGCCGGTGGAGGCGGACAAAACTCTAGACGTGTTTTGAGCTCCAGAGTCGCCAAATGGGACTTGAACCGAACGTGTGACCCCACCAATGGATTGCTCTCCGAACGAGGAATCCATTGATGGGGTCACACGTTCGGTAGGCCTGCTTAGCGACTCTGGAGCTCAACGCGTCTAGAGTTTTGTCCGCCTCCACCGGCCTTCTGGCCCACTGTGATCCGCCTCGGAATCAGTCAGTCAGCCTGCAGGCGACGCGTTGTGAAGTGCATGCAGCCGGACGCCGATACGTAGCCGGCGTGGCCCTCAAGGTTCCTTCTGGACGCGCATTTTGCAAATCGCCAAGCACCGCGGCCGTACCGTGCGCGCACACCACCGCGAGCGCGGGCCGAGCGCCGCGGCCGAAGGCGTTCCGCGGAGGTCTGGTGTTTTAAAATTAGCGCGCCGACTCCCCGGGCCAGGCCTGGTCTGCCGGCCGCCGGCTCCACGGCTTCCGACGGGGGCGCACGGCCCGCGATCGATGCGCGGATGCATTGTGACGTCGCCGCGACGCGGCCGACGCCGCGAAGGCGTGGCGGCGGTGGACGGAGGGCGCAAGCGCACCGCGGCGGGGTGGGGCGGGGCGGCGGGCGGTACCGCGTCTTTTCGCCAGGATATTCCGCGGCGGCACTCAACGGGTAGCCCGGCCCGCGTTGCCTTGCGCCCGCCTGCCGCGGTGCCGTTCGATGCCGTTCCTGTTCGACGCCACGAAGGCCTCCGCCGTGGGGTCCCTGCTGCTGGGTAAGTCGCCCAGCCGCACCGCTGCGACCCGCAGGGCGGCGAGGGCGTGGTGGGCATGACGGGCGAGTCCCATTCATTCACCCTGGCCTCGCGCCTCGCGCCCTGTTCTGCCGCAGACGCCATGACCCGCAACAACGTCGTCGTGGCAGTGGCCGTGGCGGCCCTCCTCTGCGCCCTGGTCGGGGTCGGGACTCTGGCCCAGCGGCGCGACGGGTAAGCTGCACTGCTAATCTACGCACAGTTCGAATCGCCCGATGGGCCCGATCGGCATGGTTCTGACTTGCAACGCGCTGCGCCGGCTCCGTTCGCCAACAGGGCCCGCGTGGACGACAGCGGCCGCTTCCCGCCGCAGAGGACCGACCGGCCCATCATCGGCGTGCTGAGCATGGAGCTGTCCCCCACGATCGAGAAGGTGGTCGGCGCGCACCACAGCTACATCGCCGCCTCCTACGTCAAGTTCGTCGAGGTGATAGACAGCCCCACGACGTTTACGCAATGCGCAAGGGCGGATCCTGAGACGGGTTCGCGGAAGAGGGATGCCGCGAAAGTTGCCTGCTCACAGGGGCAAAGTGCCACTTCTTGCCCGCCTTTCAGGCGGCTTCGCCGGTTTCGCCGGTTTCGCCGCCTTTTGGGACGAGCGAAGCCTATGGTGGAATACCGTAGCGACCCCCCCCCCCCCCCCCCCGCACAGTGGGCCAGAAGAGCGGTGGAGGCGGCCAAAACTCTAGACGCGTTTTGAGCTCCATCGTCGCTAAATGGGACTCGAATCGAACGTGTGACCCCACCAATGGATTGCTCTCCGAATGAGGAATCCATTGATGGGGTCACACGTTCGGTTCAAGCTCTGTTTAGCGACTTTGCAGCTCAAAACGCGTCTAGAGTTTTGGCCGCCTCCACCGCTCTTCTGGCCCACTGTGCGCCGCCCCCTCCCCCTGGACCCGCGCCGGCAAACGCGAGTTTCTCGATGGTTCGCTGACGTAGCCGTGTTTGGCCGTGTTGCAGGGCGCCGGCGCGCAAGTCGCGCCGATCCTCATCGGCCAGCCGGCCGAGTACTACCGCAAGATGGTGGACAGCGTCAACGGCCTGCTGCTCCCGGGGGGCGCCACGTACTTCAAAGAAGAAGAGGACAACAAGTACGCACAAAATCTATGTGTGTACTCAGTACACACTTCTAGGTGCGTGCTTACAAGCATGCACTTTTCGAGGTGTTTACTTGCCTAAGCACGCACCTAGAAGTGCGTACTTGAATGAGTACACACTTAAAAGTGTGTACTCAGTGAGTACTCAGTGAGTACACACTTGCGAGGTGCACGCGCGGCATAAGGAAAACGCATGCACTTCTAGGTGCGTGCTTAGGCAAGTATGTATACACCTCGAAGTGCATGCTTGTAAGCACGCACCTAGAAGTGTGTACTGAGCTCATACTACACACATAGATTTTGTGTGTACGCACTGTGACTCTTCCAGTGCTCGGACTGTTGGTCAAATCGACTGGCCAAAGCGACTGACGGGCAGGCCGGCCGGCCGTGAGCTTCCCTGGGACAGTCTCTCGCGCACGGGGTAGCGACGGGTCCTTTGTTGTCGACGTTTGCCCGCGACAGCCCCTTTGAATCCTGCCTGCAGTGCAGACTGATTCCGAGAGTCGTTTGCTTCGCTCTCTCCCTCGCACTCATCGGGCGTCCCGTGGACGCGCGCGCGCGAGAGAGACAGACCCGTGTGGCCCGAGACCTGGTAAAGATGGTGTTATTTTGGCGTTCTTCGGACTCCAAATGTACTTCAAATTAACACCAAAAGGACACCATAAAAGCACGCTAAAATAACTCCATAATTACATCGAATGCATTTGGTGTCAACGCGGCGTTATTATGGAGTTTTTTTAGTGTAAAAAGGCTCGTTTTTTCACCAAAAGAACGCCATAATAATACCAAAGCAGAGGACAGCCATAGAGAAAAATGACAAAAGAGAGACGGCAGGTGTTGATCCCCAGATCTGCGACACGGCAGTTTCGTGCGGAACCGCTTGGCCAGAGCGACTCCGAGAAGATGAGCCGCACGGCAGCTATATGTCGTGCGTTGTGCCGCGCTCGGACTTAGCCCGAATCCCCGCGGCTGGAGCCCAATCTTGTTTCTATAAACATGAACTCGTACAGTGTAGCAGACCATTACAGGTCCTGTCATGTTTATAGAACATAGAACTGGAGCCCAATCTTGTTTCTATAAACATGACGGAACCTGTAATGGTCTGCTACACTGTACGAGTTCATGTTTATAGAAACAAGATTGGGCTCCAGCCGCGGGGATTCGGGCCAAGTCCGAGCGCGGCACAACGCACGACATATAGCTGCCGTGCGGCTCGTCCTCCCGGACTCGCTCTGGCCAAGCGGTTCCGCACGAAACTTCCGAGTCGCAGATCTGGGGATCAACACCTGCCGTCTCTCTTTTGTCATTTTTTCTCTATGGCTGTCCTCTGCTTTGGTATTATTATGGCGTTCTTTTGGTGAAAAAACGAGCCTTTTTACACTAAAAAAACTCCATAATAACGCCGCGTTGACACCAAATGCATTCGATGTAATTATGGAGTTATTTTAGCGTGCTTTTATGGTGTCCTTTTGGTGTTAATTTGAAGTACATTTGGAGTCCGAAGAACGCCAAAATAACACCATCTTTACCAGGTCTCGGGCCACACGGGGACGGAAGCAACCATCTGAATCAGTCTACTGCTTCAGGTACTTCGCGGCCGGCAGGCAGCTGTACGACCTGGCGAAGGAGGCCAACGCGGCCGGGGCGCACTTCCCCGTGCTGGGGATCTGCCTCGGCATGGAGCTGCTCATGGTGGCCGCCGCCGGCAACGACTTCCGCGACAACTGCGACAGCGAGGACCCGCTGCCTCTCGGCTTTCTGCCCGGTGAGTGGAGTGTGCTTGCTGCAGCAGGGTGCGCACAGTCGTACTTACAGTGCAGTAGCGGCAGGTGCTCCACCAAAACGTGTGGAGTGGAGTGTGCGTGCTGCAGCAGGGTGCGTACAGTCTTACAGTGCAGCAGCGGCAGGTGCCCCACCAAAACGTGTGGAGTGGAGTGTACGTGCTGCAGCAGGGTGCGTACAGTCTTACAGTGCAGTAGCGGCAGGTGCCCCACCAAAACGTGTGGAGTGGAGTGTACTTGCTGCAGCAGGGTGCGTACAGTAGTACAGTGCAGTAGCGGCAGGTGCCCCCCCACCAAAACGCGACACGGGGAATACTCTAGAAGCCACGAAAGTAAAAGCAATGACGTGACCGTGTGAATGCATTCACAGACTGAAACAACAACAACAACCAACAAAAACAACAACAACCAACCAACAAAAACAACAACAACAACCAACAAAAACAACAACAACCAACAAAAACAACAACAACAACCAACAAAAACAACAACAACAAAATGAAAAATAAATATGCTGTGCAGGAGCCAAGAGTGACAGTCGCCTGTTCGCGAGGGCGCCGCCCGGTGTCGTCCACACGCTGGAGAAGCAGAACGTGACCGTCAACCACCACCACTTCTGCATCACCCGGCGCGGCATCGAGGAGTACGTGAAGATGGTGAAGCTACACGCGCGTCCCAGGGGGGCTGACTCCTATAATACTTCGTACACAGCCCTATAATACTTGTATAATACCTATAATACTATAATCCATAATACCAAAAAATGCCGCACGTTTAGTGCAGTTCCGGTTTTTAAAATGAGAAAATTTTGTAAAATTGTGGTGAATAAGCGTTCAGCGATTCCCAGACGAAACGTTAAAGTAGGAAAATGGCGCTAAGACTGATGACTAGGTGCTGAGGCTCTTAAAGATGCGCGGTAGTATTTTGAGTCTCAGAGCGCAAGCTGGAATCGGAATCCGTGATTTCAACTAACTTCCGTATTTTGTAAACCCTTGGTACACGAAGAAACACTTAAAACGACACAATTATCCAAATATAATATTCGGAATAATACCTATAATACTCTATAATGCCTATAATATATAATACTTCGTACACGGTTCGGGAGAGTCAGCCCCCCTTGCGCGCGTCGCTCTGTCTCTGTCGCACTCGTTGGGTTCTCTGGAAGGGTGCGAGAGAGACAGCGCGACAAACCGATGTCCTGAAGCGCTCGGCTCTGACTGGCTTTTGGACGAGTCTCTGTCTCGTTCCAGGCAGGGGCTGGAGCGAGAGTGGCGAACGCTGTCCGTCAACGAGGACCCCAACGGGGTGGAGTTCGTCTCGGCGTTCGAGCACCGCCAGCTTCCCCTGTACGGAGTCCAGTTCCACCCCGAGAAGAACATATACGAGTGGAAAGCGTCCAAGGTGGGTGACCTAAGGTAGCGCCCCTTTCTCATAAATGTATACTATACATTGATGACATTTCACATTGCCACGGCTTTCGGTGTTCCAGAACTACCCACATTCCGAGTCGGCCATCACCGCGGCGCGGTACTTCGCCGATTTCTTGGTGTCGGAGGCGCGCAAGAACGCGCACAGTTTTGGAGAGGATGAGAGGGACCACCTCATCTACCAGTACCAGCCTCAGGACACCAAGAGGCGGCTCATGTGGGAGCAGCTCTACCTCTTCGAGGAGCAGCAGCAGCAGGTTCCACTGGTCCGGATGGCGTCCGTCCCCGAGCCGGCTGCGGCAGGGCAGCCGGATTTTGAAGTTTGACTGCTGCTGCTGTCACTTTGCCTTGTCAGTATCGCCACTGGCCTTCCCTCTGTCACAATCCACCGCACTGCGAGAGACAGAGAGGATCACCTATTTTTTATACGTCTCTGAATGCCTTACTAATAAAAACTACTTGAATGCAGCGCCCCGGAACTCAGTTTAATAACCAATGTAGAAAAGAACGACACAAAAATTCAATTTCACACGCTGAAGCCGAGTGTACTTCGCAGCTTGAAGTAGCCGCCAGAACGCAAACACTCATTTAATACAGTCGTACCAACACCGGTTCAAATTCAGAACAAAGCTTTTCGGATCTGCACCTTGATCACGAATAGATTCTACAGAGAAAACAAATCTCATTTAGACCAAATAAAGGATAAATTGTTTTTTTAAATCCTTTGCGAATTGCAAACTATGACATTGCTAGTCGTAGTTTTTGTTTGTTGACAACGTTGTAGCGGCACAGCAGACGACAGGTAAACAAACAAATGAGCGCTTGGAGCAGACGACGAGAACTGGTGTCAAGTCCGGCCAAGAGTTCGGTCCGGTGTTGTCCGCTGTAGGTTTTCCTCGGAGGCTGGCAGTTTAGTGCACGGTCGAATCACAAACCTGGTTAACGCAGTTTGTCAGATATGTCTGGTGATATGGAGGGTACAGAGAGCAGCACCAAAATGTTAGACTTTTTACTTCTTGTTGGAAAATTGAAGGTAGTTCTGATACACCTTACATACTGAAACATGGTAATCCTTCCCTTAATTGAATGAATGTCATTTATGCTTTATTTCAGCATGTCAAAAGAACAGGTTGGCTTCTGAGAAACGTGCCAGATCCTGAATGTGTTGCTGGTCACATGCACCGCATGTCCATCATACCTTTGTTGCTTGACACTTCAAAAAGTTCTTTGGACAAAGTAAAGTAAGTACAAACTTGTAATGAATGTAAATTTCTTTTACAAATATGTACAAATGCCTTTTTTCTATAACTCATTCATTTTATGTGTCGTGTTTAGGTGCATGAAACTTGCATTGATTCATGACTTGGCTGAGTGTATAGTTGGTGATATTACTCCACATTGTGGAATAGATCCTGATGAAAAACACAGAAGGGAGGATGATGCCATGAAAACCCTATGTGATTTAGCTGGAATAAATGGGGCTGAACTCTATTCATTGTATAAGGTATTTTGCTAGCTTCTTGTTATGCACTCTTTTTGTAATGATGATTTTATGTGTATGTGCTGACATGCCTTTCTAATTTGGTTTCAAGGAATACGAAGCTAAGAGTACACCTGAAGCAAAGTTTGTCAAGGAACTAGATAATTTTGACATGATTTTGGAGGCTTACTCCTATGAACAAGCTCAAAATCAGCCTGGCCAGCTCCAAGAATTTTTTGACTCAACTAAAGAAAAGTTTTCGCATCCTCTTGTTCTATCTCTTGTTAAGGAACTTAACAGAAGACGCAGTGCAGTTTCACCTCCTGAAAATTCTGATGCACCCCAAACCATCAAGTAAAAGTGACTCTGCTGAGCCACAACTTTTTAAAAGGCTTTACTCTCTGAATGGTGTACCCAGTAATTTGAAAAAGCCAACATATTTTTAGCTATCCATTTCTATGTTCCTTTATTAAATTGCGGTGAAATTCATCTTTTACATGGCAAGTCGCAACAAAGAGGTTTGTACTTTGTCTAAAATTAAAATTGATCACAAAATCTACACTTTTTGGGTGTGTTATAAGATGTGGTTTTTATTAATTTATAGTATAATTGGTGAACAATCATTGAGCTGGCAGCTCTACTTCCCTCTAACACAACAAATGGAATCAGTCAGTAAACAATAGAAATAAAACAAAGAAGAAATTATTATTAAAGTCCAACATCTTCCTCTTCCTCATCATCACAAATATCGTCTCTCACAGAAGATGCTTTAGAGTTAGAATGTTTCCCTTGGACTGGTGCACAGTTATTCAGTTTCTGCAGCTCAGCTTGCCTGATCAGAACTTCAATTGATCTCAACTCAAGTTCTTTATTGAGCACTTGCATGCGGCGGTGATGCTCAGTTTCAGCCATCTGGATTTTCCGTTTATCAGCATCAGATTTACCGTCCAAATATTTAGAGAGTTTGATGAGAGCCTTGGAAAGTATTGCATCTGTTGTTGAAGTGGCAGTAACTGCTTCCACACTGTTCAAAGCTGTTGCGTCGAAATCCTCCCCAGCAGTCACAAAGAAGGTCCCATTCTGAGAAAGAAAGTGGCATACATGAATACCATACAGTACTGAATCATAATATTCGACAGGATCAACCGAGATCATACTCTACTTACCTCTTCACATAAAACCCTTTCAGCAGCCTGGGAGAGCGAGCCCTCTGGGAGGATTGCTGTCAACTGCGGTCTGTTGTTTGGATTCTCTTTCATTAAATCCATCTTCCGACAATGCTTCATCCCTGACGCATGCTTTTCGAGCTCTGACTTTCCGCACCGCAGTTTGATGTCGCAGGCAATGCAGATGCAGTAAGTCTCGTCGGTGGGGTGAGGACGAAGCCAGTCCCTAAAGTACGTCTCGTTCATCCACTCCACTCGGAACTTTTTGGCGGCTCTTCTCACCCGCTCCTCGGACCAGCTCTCTCTGGGGGTTATCCCTTCAGACCCCATTTCTTCGGCTTGCCTTTTCTTTGCTGGAGTGACAGTCGCTTCTGTTGTCATGGCGTCCATCTTTCCGTCCGACAAATCTGACAAAACGATGGTTCCCAGTTCGGTGATCATGGCTCCTAAATTTGCTAAACCGATGGTCTTAACCTTTAACACCAAATGTTTACTGTTTATGATTCTGCGATCTGCGAACAACGGAACTTTTGAGAGTGACTGTTTCTGCCTATAACGCTATCGTGCGAATATAGTTGGAAACGACTGTATTTCTCATACAAACGCCTTTCGCCGCGTTGGTGATGCGTCTTTTTGCATTTGCAGAAGGCGCACGTCGCTGCTGACAAGTAAATTTTGTTGCTGGACTTCACCTTTTGTTCTCAATACTGGTAAATATATATTGGGTTGTGTCGGTTTGATCTGAATCCTCGATACCTCTGCTGTCCCTGTTCATTTTCGCCTTCAAACATTCTTGTTTATTCATGAAACGTTTGTATATCTAGTTGTGTCGGCAATTGTAGGTTATGGCAAGTCTCGTAAAGCTTTGCAATTTTGTTTCAAAGTCTAACTCCTGTTTTTCGGGTGTCTTTTCCTCAACGATTGTCAAATATGTATATTATTGCATTTGACACTATTTTGTTTAGCGACCATGTGTGAAGTACTTGTGTGACCCAACGGTACCATCCATTGAATGGTACTTTGAATGACTGGCTGTGTCCTCCTGTCATTCTATCGTTTCGTTTCTTTGTTTTGTTGAATCATCGCTTTCTTCTTTTATATCTCATTTTATGATGACTATTCTTTCTGATTATTTGATCCAACATATTTTCTAACAAGGTGAGGAAACTGTGCTCAACCATTAGAATAAATATTTTTGTGGTTTGTCAGTGACCAACATATACACAGCCATGGCGGACAATCCTTTGGCCAATGCTAATGGCCAAATCATCAAGATGGAGGTGGACTACAGTAACACTTGCGATGAAAAAATACCCCAGTGCAAGAAAATGGCTGCTGACGGCAAAATGCACGATGCCTTGGACTCACTTCTTGCATTGGAGAAGCAAACCCGCACAGTAAGAATACCACATTTCCCTATAACTATTTCTTCCCTTTTTAACATATTTTTTTATAATAATTCATTCTTTTCCCTGTTTTATTACCCAGGCTGCTGATATGGCATCAACTGGACGTATCCTAGTTGCAATTGTACAGATATGCAAGGATGCCGGTAACTGGGGAGCCTTGAATGAACATATTCAGGTTTTAGCCAAGAGACGCTCTCAGTTGAAGCAAGCTGTGGTGAAAATGGTTCAAGAGTGTTGTACCTATGTGGATGTAATGCCCACCAAAGAACTCAAGGTTCAGCTCATTGACACCTTGAGGTCTGTCACCGAAGGAAAGGTATTCTTTTCTCCCCCCCTTAGGCTGGTTTCTGTTTTATTTACTTCCTGTTGGTGACTTAAAAACAATGTGTTTCTGGCAGATTTATGTTGAAGTTGAACGAGCCCGTCTGACACACATTCTGGCTAAGATGAAAGAAGATGAGGGCAGTGTTACTGAGGCTGCAAATATCATTCAAGAGTTACAAGTAGAAACTTATGGTTCAATGGAAAAGAGAGAAAAGGTGATTGAATTAAAAACATTTCTTATCTTGTATTATAAATTCTTTATTTAGTATTATTATGCCCTTTATCTATTCTAATGTGCACTTTTGTTTTATTTTCCAATTCCTAGGTTGAGTTAATTTTAGAACAGATGCGTTTGTGCTTGGCCAAGAAAGATTATATTCGCACACAAATCATTTCCAAGAAAATAAATGTGAAGTTCTTTGAAGCTGAAGATACACATGATCTTAAACTTAAATATTATCGGTGAGCTTGATTTTCCTGTCTGTATCCATTTTATCTGATACTTAAATTTTCTACACTCCTGACACAATATGCTTCTTCTGTTAGCCTTATGATTGAATTGGATCAGCATGAAGGCTCTTTCTTGGCAACATGCAAGCACTACCGTGCCGTCCTGGACACCCCATCAGTTCGGGATGATGCGGCGCAGCGCACCATGATTTTGCAGAATGTGGTTTTGTACCTTGTTCTTGCCCCTTATGACAATGAACAGGCTGATCTTACTCACCGTGTCCTTCAAGACAAACTCATGGAGGAAGTTGCACCATACAGGTACTGTGTTATCCGCATCCTGTGCACTATATTGTTTTTATGCTCTTGTATTTTATCTCAGTTTCTTTATGTTTATAGAGACCTCTTGAGGCTATTTATTAACCCAGAGTTGATTAAGTGGTCAGCTCTTCGTGAAATTTATGAGAAAGAGCTGAAGTTTGGATCTGCCAAGTTTCCAGCAACAGATGTATTTAACCCCAAATCAGAGGAAGGCCAGAAACGTTGGAAGGATCTCCGGAATCGTGTTGTTGAGCATGTAAGGAGCAGTTTGCATTTTTCCAATTCTTCTATCTTAGATTCTTATTTTGTACACATGGTGATTACAAACTATGGTTTCAGAATATCCGTGTAATGGCAAAATACTACACAAGAATAACTTTGAAGAGGATGTCTGAGTTGTTGGATTTGCCAATTGAAGTAAGTTGAAGAAATTTTACATTACATTATAGATAAGGTGTTGTCACTTTTGCATTATTTTTATACATTTTGCCCTCTATTTACCTAGGAGACTGAAGATTTCCTTTCCAACATGGTTGTAAGCAAGACAATAGAGGCAAAAACTGATCGGCCTGCTGGGGTGGTTAGCTTTACACGTAGCCAAGATCCTAATGATGTCCTCAACGCCTGGGCCACTCACCTTAGTGCTCTGATGCAACTGGTGAACAAGACCACCCATCTTATCAATAAGGAAGAGATGGTCCACAAGCACCTGCACCTTATGTCTGTTGGAGACAAGAACTGATTCAACTGGAACCCTCACTCCAAGGCAGATGTGTGTCTGCTTGTAGCATAATTTTCCTGTCCAGAGTATTTTCAAGGGAAAAAGCTGCATTAAAATGACAAAAAGAACTGTACATTTACTAAACCACTCTCCTAGCAATTTTCTTACCCATTAAATCATTTAAATACTAGTATGTCTTAATTATTGAGCACAGTTTTCATGTAATAAAGATTCTAACTAAATTGAAAATGTTTGTGAAAATGTTATTTTTCTTGATTGCAACACAAGAAGAGGGGTCATACCAGTGGAAGGCAACCAACAAAACATGCTGGACACTTCCCATTTATTCTGGACTTGTCACATTTGAGATGGTTGTCTTTACTAATGAAGAGTAAAAACAGCAGGGGCTAAGCTTTTCAAATGTTTCCTTGTGCTTCTCATCAGGAACAGGATACAGGTGTAGAAAAAGTCTTTTATACTTTGAATGTTTATTTAAACTTAATTTAATCATGCTGGGTGCCAGTTCTTACAATGTAAGTTCCACAAGAGATATGGTTAGGTTCAAATCCTCACACATGAATATGTGGTACAAAACAAACTTAAGGATATGAAGTATTTTGAATCTGACAACATTTTCTAAAAACATTTGGCACTATGAAGTACAAATTATTTTTTCCATAAAATAAGACAAAGTAAAAATATGATACAATAATAAGTTTAAAAAGATATGGTAAGGGTAAGATTCTCATAAAAGCAACCAACTTTCAACTTGCAAAATGGACTGAAAATTAAGAGAATAAAATGCACAAGTGTAAAAATAGTGCTTTAAAAATAAAGAAACGAAAAATGATCGCCCATCACATTTTGTTTGGCAAAGTTGTGAGCACAGTTATAATCTCAACATGAAGAAATGAAACATTTAAAATGATTACATACGAAGGCCACTTGCATCATTTGGGCGTAACTTCTTCGGAGATCTTTCATTGCCAGATTCCTCAGAGCTACTAAGCAGGTGTTTTGAACCTTTAGTTGGTTTGTCATTTGATTCTATTTCTTCATCAGAGCTAATGTCTGTTGTCTTAAAAGAGTTGTTCAAAATAGATGTTTCTTTGAGAGGAGACCTTTTTGGTTGATACTTTACACTTCTATTTTGAGCTTCCTCAGATTCTGACTCAGAATCAATAACCTGTTGCCTACTACGATGTGAGATCTGACTGGAGGAGGGAACAGGACTTTCATTTTCAGAGTCTGATTCAATAATTGCTCGGCGCTGAGAGTGGCTGTCATTCAGAGTTCCACCATCCGCATCCCCATCTGAATCAGAGTCAAGATTGCTTTGACTTAGAGGCTTACTAGCAGTTTCTTCAGTCTCATCATGAGTTTCAATGTTTTCTGTAGCTTGGTCGTCAGAATCATCAGAATGAGTCATTCTCAACCGCTTGTGTTTACTTTTTTGTAATTTTGATTTTGTAGATGTGCTTGAAGCATTTACCAACTCATCAAATGCAGATTGTGCTTTATCTAAAAAAAAATAAAAACATAAAAAGTGTTTATTAGGCTAACTGGAATGGTTCAACCACATTGCCTGGAAATGATTTTAAAAAAATACACACCAGTATTTGAATCCTCACGACTAGCAGCAGTAATCCTGCGCAAAGCATTGAACTCATCTTCACTCTCGGATGAGTCAGAATTATCGAGGACAGGGTCCTGATTTTCAGTACTGTCAGCATTGGTCTCTGTATGTCAGAAAAAAAATAACATTAATCAATTGAATAGAAGATATTAAAATATTAACAGCTTTTGTTTAAAGTCACAATCAATCAAAACATTAGTATTGAATGGCTCTTTACCTGAGTCTTGTTCAGGGGAGAGAGTGCCATCTAAAGCACTCTGGATATTTCCAGCCTTCTTCCGCATTTCAGCAGCTCTCATGTCGCCAGGTATACGCCAGTAAGATTCCTGCAATGGATTGAGAGATCATTTAGGCAAGTGAGATACATCTCTCTTTTCACAATTTATTAATATACACTTTTAACCAACCTACCTGTTCATCAAATGGAGGTACAATTCCCAATGCTTGTAAGAGTCGCTGGAAAATGGGACTGTCCATTGCAGTTTCTGCGTCATCCCCCACAGGAACGAGGGGCACTCCGTCAACTTCCTCAGCTGTAGGGTTACTTTCTAGATCTTCAGCAGCTTCGTCCAGAGATTCTTTGAGCCATTGCAGGCCTCCAGATAATTCTGTAGAAAACATAGAAAGGAAGTATTGTAGTCCAAAGAAGGTTTTAATAGGATTGCTTGTCACAAAATATTTACCTGAGCTCATGACTTGCAGCAGCATTGCAGTGACTTGACCTGGTGGAGCACGTCCAGTATTGGCCCTTCGAGCGTTTTTGAGAGCTATTCTATCCATTTCTGAACTGTCCTTCTTTCCACCAGCCTTCTTTTTCTTGGCCTTCTTCTGTGTAATATTTGTAGAGCTACCATCACTATCGGAATTGGGTCGATCATCATCACTTGAGTCATCGACATCATGAACTCCTAAACAGAATTTTTCAGAAATCGAGATATAGAAAAGTAAGACAAAAAATCATTGTATAAATTCAGCATTTTTATTTTGAACAAACAAAGGTTACCTATTCTTAAGCTGCCAGATTTTGTTCCTCGTCCACCTTTCTTGTGTAATTCCTTGCGATCATTCACCAGCCCTAACTCCAAAAGTTTATCGATGACTTTTGACTTGGGTCGTTTTACTGTCAAACGAGATAATATTTCTTCCATAACATCTAAAAACATTACAGAAAAACAAAAAGTTAGCTCTGTGGAATGAATGGACTGAGGAAAAGAAAATCATCACTGCCAGCAGGCAGCAGGTACTAACTGCCTGAGTCCCTGTACTGGTCATAAAGCTCCTGCAGCTGAACCACCTCCTGTTCTCCCCATTCCTTGGGTGCACGCACTTTCTAAAAAACAAGAAAAATGTAATAAAATTTCAAATTTCAATGGTTGTAGATGTAGATCTAGGCTAAAATAATTGAGAGCACATACAGATTTAGGAACTATTAAAAAGAGTTCTTGGAGTTTCTTTCTAACACCATTTGCAGTGCGATCTTGATTGATAAGCTTTGACAGAATCCAATGAACAGCATCTGGAAAGCAAGTAGTAAAAAATAATAAATAGTACACTTTCTAAATCTTTTTTTAGCAACAATTATTAGCCGGTATAAGGCAGGTGCACATACCACCACCAGGTTGATCCCTCTGAAACTCAGCAAAGAGAACTCGCAGTTCATCTTCTTCCTCTTCTTTCCATACTTTCTTATCAGCAGCAGATCTAGGAACAGGAAAGAAATTATTTGAAATGAACACCTTGAGATTCTTCCCGCAGGTAAGAAAGAAACACACTTACTTCTCCTTATAGCTTCCGTAGCCCTCTTCAATTTCATACGCGTCCCTGGATGTTTTCCAGAATAGCAGCTCAACGTAGATCAACGGGTTCTTTGAAGCCACTTCCACAAACTTCTGGATCACAAACTGAGCAAGCTTCTGAAGCTCCTAAGATAACAGAAAAACACAACTCATGACACATTCCGAACATCAGTCGTCGACACATAAGAAGGCACTAGTTACTGACCTTGTGCTGTGAGAGGGGGGACTTGAAGATGCGCTGGAAGGAGCGGAATATGGAGGCCTGGAACAGCATGCCGGGCATCTTGGCGTCCCAGGCGATGCGGTGCAGCAGCTTGGCGACGCAGTGGTTCGTGAACACGGAGTTCTGGTCGAACTTCTGCAGCAGGTACCCGGCGGCCTGGACCGCCTTCGAGTGGACCAGCCTGGAACAGTCGAAAAACGAACATGAGGAGACGAAGTCGAGAGAAATTTTGACGGCCCGGGGATTTACCGGATGACAGCAGAGCAGTTCGGCAGTCCCGACTTGGCAGTTCCACCGCCCGACGCGTTCCCGTCCAGCGCGACTGGCGGCCCTTGGGGACTTGGGGAGGGAAAGGGGGAGGGGAGGGGGCGGATTGGGGACGGAAGTCAGGCCACGCTGGGCTACGCGCTACGCGTTTACGTCAACTTGACAAACATAAATTTTCAAATTCCGACTGACAGCCCGCCGCCGAGAAGTTTCGGCTGGCAACAAGTCACCCCGGCGGGGAAGGCCAGGGCCGGGGCTGGGGAACGTCATCGCGGTGTGGCGAGGCAGCAGACAGAGTCGTTTTCGTCGCTGTGTCTCTCTCGCACCCATGCGGGACGCCCCATGAGTGCGAGCAGGATAAAGCGACGAAAACGCCTCTCGGAATCAGTCAGCAGGGTGAAGCAGGGAAAGGTCACAGCCAGCAGCCGCCGCCGCCAGCGCGCTTCACAAACACCTTCGTACTCCCCAAAAAATAAATGAATGAGCGTGCTTGGCAAAACGCCCTCGGGTGAAGCTCTGCAGTGTAGGTAGTCGAAACGCCCTAGGTAGGCGAAACGCCCCGCAGTGTAGGCAAAGCCCCCTCGCGCTGCGTGCGCACCGAGGTGTGAACAGGGCGTCCAAAAGTGAAGATGAAGGTGGGCGATGCCTGGGCTGGGCCCGGGCAGGGCCTAGCGATGCCCCCTCCCCAATCCCCCTGCATCAGTGCGGCTCACTAATTGATTAATTAATTCATTAGCGTCAAGCTGCTGGGCGGCGGCCGCGCCATGGCCGCCATGGCCGTGGCGCGCAGAGCAAAGGGAGCCGCCCGCGCTGCTGGCTGGCTGGCTGGCTGGCTGGCTGGCTGGCTGGCTGCACGCTACGGCGCGGCTTGCCCGGCCCATCGCGCCACGGCCCGGCATTCACGCTAAACTGAGTCAACGTCAAAGCTAAATATACACTGCAAGCAGCCTCCGGCCGCGACGCCGCCACGCACTGGCCGACGCCGCGCCGCACTCCGCGGGGGTGCACTGTGAGGGCGGGCGGCGGCGCGCCGGATATTTGATTTAATTTATTAACACCGCGAGGCCGGCCCGCCCTATTTAAATTCATTACATTCAAAATAGTTTGTCCGCCGGGGCGGGCGGCGCGCACGAGGGAGGGAGGGGCCGGCCGGGCCTTTCGGCCGGGCCGGGTGGGTCGGGTCGGCCAGAGGGGCGAGATACGGCGGCGGAGGGACGGGACGCGGGGACGGCCGGGGCCTCGGAGGAGAGGAGGACGCCGAGGGGCCGCCGACGAGGGCGGAGGGCGGCACCTTCAAGAGGGGCCGGGCCCTTGGCTGCCTTGGCCGCGACAGCCAACTCTGCAAACCCGTGGAGCCGTGGAGCTAGCGCACGAACGCGTCCCACCGCCTCAGTGCGAATGATAGTTTCGTCGCTCTGTCTCGGTCGCACTCATGGGGCGTCCCTCGGGAGAGCGACAGAGAGACAGAGCCTTCGGAACGAGGCGGCGCGGCAGCCCCGGAACACCGCGCAACAAACGCCCCCGCTTTGCCGCCTGCAAGCTGCAAGGGTGCGATTTGCGCTTAGCTCTCGGCGAGGCGGTGGGGCTCGGCGTCAGGCCCAGCAGACTGATTCCGAGAGTCGTTTCCGTCGCTCTGGGATGCCCCACGAATGCGAGAGAGACAGAGCCGACGAAAAGACGACTCTCGGAATCAGTCTGCCGGGCTCCCCTCCAATTGGCGTGCAGCTCGCTATGCACACCGAGACGAAGGCGGCTCGGCGTGTCACTTCGATCCATACCTGTCCGGGCTGTCGGGACGTCAGGCGAAGGGAGACGCCACCGGCCGGACCCCATCGGCCGGGGAGGAGGAGGACCAGGGGGCGTTTTCAAGCCGTGTGATCAGTAATCAGCGAGGGGCACGGAGAGAGGGGGAGGGGATGGGGGGGGGGGAACCGCAGGGACACGACGCACTGGGGGCGGAGAAAACTTATCAAACTTTTGCTTATTTTACCATTCCTCGGCGACTCGGCCGCCGCGGCACGACCGCCACCACCACCACCACCACCGCCACCACCGCCGCGAAGAGCAAGGCGACGGGCAGCGCGCCGAGACACTGCCAACATCCCACTGGAAGGCTGGAAGTTGGAGGGGCGGGGAGGGGCGGCCAGGCCAGCCGCAGCGCACACAACAGCCACAAGTCCAAAAGCCGCCCCTCACTCCCCCCCCCCTCCCCTGCCGCCCCTCGCAGACCGCCGACTGCCCTCATGAAAGCGAGAGCGACCAAACTTGGATTTGTGAGACCGGACCGCCGGCGGCCGGAGACTCCCGGAGACTTCCGCAGACTCCCGGAGACTTCCACAGACTCCCGGACACTCCCGGACGCGGCGGCGGATGACTTCCCCGCGCTCATTAAATCCCCCCCGCCCCCGCGCCCCCTTCCGGTCCAGAACTAGACTTCCTCCAAGTCGCATTCTAGCACTCCATTAGAGTCACCTTGCCCTCTATAAACCTCCGGCAAGTCCCGGGAATGCCACCCGCCGCGGCCTCGCGCCTCGCGCCGCCCAACTTTGCCCGCCCTCCCAGCCTGCCGCTGCACTGCACGCACGGCGCGGGGCGTGGCGGGGCGCACCGGCGTGTGAAAGATAGCAGTCGCAGCTATCAACAGGCGCAGCCCTCTGCGCCGCCGCCGCCATGCTTACTATTTAGTTGCCGCTGCGGCGCGGCGACAAGACAACGCCTTCCAGAGGCGCCGGCCCCCAAGGCCCCACGCCAGCCACCCCGGGCACCCCGGGCGCGCTCGTCATCGAGTGGGGGAGCGCTGTTTGGGCTTCGGGGCGGGGCGGGGCGGCCGGGTCAGCGCAACATCGAACTAACTTTGCCGCAGAGTTGCGCGGCAGGGCCGATCATTTAAACAGCCATTACGTGTCCTCGTGTCGCAAACCCGTCAGGGGGAGCGGGGCCGAAGGGGACCGAGCGGGGCCCACAGCAGCGGCAGACTGTCCGAAAGTCGTTTTCGTCGCACTGTCGCTCTCTCTCGCACCTCCACGTGACGCCCAATGAGTGCGAGAGAGACAGAGCGACGCAAACGACTCTCGGAGTCAGTCTGCAGCGAGCTGGGGGCCGCCACCTGAGCCGCAAGGACGCGACGGTGAGCAAACTGCCCCCGAAGACGAGACGGCCACCGAGGTAGTGGAGGCAGCGCGGACCGATTCCGAGAGTCGTTTTCGTCGCTCTGTCTCCCTCGCACCTACACGAGACACCCTTAAGAGTGCGAGAGAGACAGAGCGACGAAACGACTCTCGGTCGGCCAGAACAGAGCGCCCGGCGGGTAGGCCAGCCGGGCCGGACAGGACAGCGGCGCGTTGCGGGACGGCCTATCCTCGACTCGACGGGCGCTGGGCGGCCGGCCTGCAGGCCAACCTCCGCGACCGGGGCAACGGGAGTGCCCATTCGAAAACGACCTTCCGAGACCAATTCGGGCACTACCCAAAGCGAAAGCGAAAGTAGGTGCGAGTGAGACAGCAGCGCGACGACAGCTCCATGTCCCCGCAAGGGGCTCGCAAGGGGCCGAGGTCGCGACGCCCTGACCGGCTCAAGAAGACGATGCCATCCGCAGATGGCGCGACGGGCAAGGCGGCCCGCGCCGCATCTGGCGAGACCTCTCTCTCTCTCTCTCTCTCTCTCTCTCCGCCGCGGCCTAACACACAAAAGACGAGGCGGCCCCGCCCCAGAAATAAATCAAGTCAACTCACTTCGGCCGGAGGCAAGCAAGAGAGAGAGGGAGAGAGACACGGAAACGGAGAGAGAAGGAGAGAGAAAGATAGGTGCGCCGCAACCCACCCCAACCTCAGAGCTCTTCGCCTCCTTGACTTGAATTTCGCGCCGCCCCTCCCCCCCTCCCCCTCCCCGATCTGATGTCTTCATTTCTAGGCGGCCGTGGCGCCGTGCCCTCCCCGTCGGCATCGCTCGGCATATCGCGCGGCCGTGGGGCGTGGGCGCCTTGGTGGGCGCCGCCGAGCCACGAACGTGAGATCGGGATCGCTTTCCCGCCGCAGAGAGAGAGAGAGAGAGAGAGAGAGAGAGAGAGAGAGAGAGAGAGAGAGAGAGCGCCAAGAGAACCCTCGCCTCGCGGTCGACCACTCCCACACCACCCTGGAGTCCTGGACGCGGGCTGCACCGCAACAGGGCGGAGCGAGACGGAGGGAGAGAGACGAAGAAAGGAAGAAATGGAACGGCATCAGATGAGGAAATACCACCACCTCGCAAAAAAAATTTTGGCGCGCTTCTCTAGGCCGCCGCTACTCAAGGTGGCGAAACCACGCCTAAATGGTAGGAAAAAAAGTAACCCCGTACCCCTGTAAGTAGGCAACTTTTGTGTCCCCCCTTTTCCCTGAACCTGCCCCTGAACTCGCCCTTGCGACTAGCCGGGCCGGCCGGGCTGGCTGGGGCCGCGCCGTCATGTAATGAAGAGACGGCCAAGTCTGCAGCAGCCCCGGCCGAGGCCCCGGCAAGGCGTGGCGCGGCGTGGCGGCAGCGACGTACAATTAGCAGCGTTTGCAGGGGCGCCATTGTCCGCGGACAAAGAGCTACCCGGCGCAACCCCCGCCCCGCTCCGGGGAAGTTCCTCATCCACCACGACACACACAGACAAAAACCCCCACACAGCGGCACGCCCCACACACAAAACACCACCACAAGTGATCTCCATCTGGCGCCCCATAGTGGGTGCCGGCTGTCCCGTCGCGACCGTGGCCGCTCCCGGAGGCCCGGAGGACGTCGCCGTGGCCCCGCGGACTGACGGTGTGCCCGCCCTGGCCGCGGTGACCGCAGGTCTTCCTCCAGGCCGCCGCATGCGCGGTCCCGTAGAGCAAGGCGTGCCGCGGCCGAGGACGTCGCCGAGCGCGCGCTGCTGCCCAAACCTCTTACGGCGACTTACTCCCACCAGAACCGAGCCCAGGCCAGCAGCGCAGTCGAGTGAGGCCAGCGAAGATTTCCATTTCGTTGCAAGGCGGCTTGCCTACCCAGCCGCCGCTGTCGCAATTTCAACTTGAACTAGAGAGGCCAGACCATGTTTGATCGATTGCCGTTTTTGGCCCGGTAACTGTCTTGCTGGCACCACACGGTTGTGCTTGTTGCCTGCCTTCGGGGCGGTGCCAGACCTGTCCGCCTTGGCCCACTCCCTCGGGCCGCCACCGCGGAGAACGCGGGGCAGCCTCGGCGCTGCTGCGGAGCGGAGGAAATGATTTTTCAACGGGACCCTCCACGACGACGACGTGCTTTCTTTGCGGTTTCGCCCCCCGGGGGTGGGGGGAGCTCGTCAGGGCCACGGTCATCTTCACGTGCCCCACAGACACGGCGACACACAGACAGGGCGCGGCGCAGGTGCTGCAAGGACCCAAATGCGGCAAGGGCGGCCCCACCCCGCGGCGCCTCCGGCAGACTGATTCCGAGAGTCGTCCTTCGTCGCTCTGTCCCTCTCGCACTCATGGCACGTCGCGTGTGGGTGCGAGAGAGACAGAGCGAAGAAAGGGACGCTCGGAATCCGTCTCCAAAGCGCCTCGCGGTGGCGCAGGCCAACAAAGGGGGGCAGCTCCCCAGGGCGTCGTTGTTATGCCCGGGTCCCGGCGGCCCGGCGGGGGGCCCCGATGGGGGCAGGGCCCCGATGGGGGGCACCGCGAGGGAGGCCCGTGTCCCCACACACTCAAGGACCAGGTGCAGAGCAACACACAACAATGAGCGCGGGAGTGCGGGGGCGGGGCGCCCAAAATGGGTTCAGGTTAGCGTGTGTGTGTGAGTGAGTTAGTGTGTGTGTGACAAGGGGTTCACAGGCACCGTGCCCGCTCGCGCGGTGCCCCCGTGCGACCCCCGGCAAGGATAAGTAGACCGGGGTAGTCATCCCGACGGCCCCCGTGCCCCCACGTAAATTGCACCATGGGACTACTAATGCGCAAGCAGGGCGAGGCGCACTCACACACGCGCAGACCCACGCCACACACAGACAGTCCCAGCCGGCGGTAAAAGAGAAAATCGCGTCTACACACAAAAGAGTTTGATTACCGAAAAGGGCCCCAATTTGGCGCCGCAAAGCGCGGGGAACGGCCGCGGCCGCGACGCCGCCAGGCAGCCAGCCAACCAGCCAAAAGCCAGCCAGCCAAAAGCCAGCCAAAGGCCAGCAAGCTAGCCAAAAGCCAGCCAAAAGCCCGCCAGCCAAAAGCCAGCCAGCCAAAAGCCACTCAAAAGCCAGCTCACCAGCCAGCCAAAAGCCAACCAAAAGCCAGCTCGCCAGCCAGCCAAAAGCCAGCCAAAAGCCAGCTCGCCAGCCAGCCAAAAGCCAGCCAAAAGCCAGCTCACCAGCCAGCCAAAAAGCCAGCCACCAACCACCCAAAAGGGCCACCAGAAAACCCCCAAAAAGCCAGCCAAAAAAGCCACCCCCAAAAAAGCCCAAGCCAAAAAGCCGGGCCCCCAAAACCCAAAGCCAAAAGCCAGCCAGCAAACGCACGGCGTGCACGGCCGGGGTGGCGCTGCGCCACGCCTGGCTACGCCCTACTTGCCGATACAATACCGCGCGCGCAGCCCGGCGCAGCCACACAGCACCCTGGAGGGCGGTTCCTTCTCGTCCATCAGGAGGACGCGGCGGAGCCTCCGCGGAGGCGAGGGAGGAGGCCGCGAGGAGGGACGCCGCAGTCAGCACAAAACGCACGTGCGCCGCAGAACAAAACAGCCACAAAATTTTATGCCAGCGAGCTCCAACTCTCTCTCTCTCTTCCTCCGACACACACGCACGGCCGCACACGCATAACAGCGGGCGTCCTTCTCTCTCTCTCTCTCTCTCTCTCTCTCCTCTTTTCTCCCCTTTTCCCTCTCTCTCTCTTTCTCTCTCTCTCTTTCTTTTCTCTCTTTTCTTTTCCCCTCTCTCTCCTCTCTCCTCTCTCCTCTCCTCTCTCTCTCTCTCACACACACACACACACACACACGAGCGCGTCCCCGTGACCGAGAGTCTGGTCTCGCTCGCAGCCAAAACTCGGCAGCCGAAGGGATTCCGAGGAATCGTTTGGTCGCTCCGTCTCTCTCCCTCGCGCCCCTCGACGGGACTCCTTCACGAGTGCGGCAGAGACAGGGCGACTCGGGACGGCTCGGCGGTTTGAGGGCGTCGCGGCGCTAATCGGGAGGAAACGCGGAGCCAGCCAGCCGCGTGATGGAGGCCGCCAACTACGCGCAGGGACCGGCACGCAGTGGGCCAGAAGACCGGTGGAGGCGGCCAAAACATTAGATGCCGTTTCGAGCTCCAGCTCCAGAGTCTCTAAATGGGACTCGAGCCGAACGTGTGACCCCACCAATGGATTGCTCTCCGAACGAGGGATCCATTGGTGGGGGTCACACGTTCGTTTCGAGGCCTGTTCAGCGACTCTGGAGCTCAAAACGCGTCCAGAGTTTTGTCCGCCTCCACCGGTCTTCTGGTCCACTGATGCGGCAGGGACCGCCGGGGACGCAGGGGGTAGCGACGCCAGCTTCCACCGCTGCACGCCGACGCCCCGCCGATACCCCACGCACCACGCGCAATGCGGCGAATTCGGCGTCGAACATCGCCGAAGCGGTCTCTGGATCCCGGACGTTCTCAACCCAAGCGCGCGTAATGCAGTAGCGACGGCGGTGGAGGTGCCTAAGAGGTACCCACAGCAGGGCGACTCCGGAGAGTCCGCTTCGTCGCTCTGTCTCCGTCGCACTCATGGGATGTCCCCCAGGCGTGCGAGAGAGACAGAGCGACGAAACAGCGACTCGCTCGGGACCAGCCTGCAGAGTCCCTTGAGAGGGGGTCCGCGACGGTGCGGTACCTTTGCGTCCTTGCGGCTTCCTGGTTTCGGGCGGCGAGGGTCGAGCACCTTGACGCGCCGGGCGCCTGGGCGGTGCGGCGCACCAATTTGAACAGGATCCACCCGGACAAATTTGGAGAGGGCCGGGCTGCCTGCTCGGCCAGGCTGCCTGCTCGGCGGGGCTGCCTGCTTGGCCGGGCTGCCTGCTCGGCGGTGCGGGGCTCCTGCGGGCAGGCTGCCTGCTTGGCGGGGCTGCCTGCTCGGCGGGGCTGCCTGCTCGGCCAGGCTGCCTGCTCGGCGGGGCTGCCTGCTCGGCCAGGCTGCCTGCTCGGCCGGGCTGCCTGCTCGGCCGGGCTGCCTGCCTTCGGAGCGCGATTCGCAGACGCAGAACATCAGTTTGTCGCTGTCTCCCTCGCACCCTCATGGAGAACCCCGGGAGTGCGACAGAGACAGAGCGACGGAACGACTCTTCAGAATCGCTCGACAGCTCGGCCAGGTTGCCGAACGAGGCGCGGCGGCCCAGGATGAGGAGACGAATAGAGAAAAGACAAGTGCTAAGTCCTTCGCCCCTGGACCCCAGCGGGCCGGGCTACACCCCCTGCGGCCAGCACAGCCAGCACAGCCAGCACAGCGATTCCGAGAGTCGTTTCCCTCGCTCTGTCTCCCTCTCTCGCACATACACGGGACGCCCCATGAGTGCGAGAGAGACACGGCGCGAGGGAAACGACTTTCCGAATCAGTCCGCAGCAAGCACGGCCTCCTCGCACCGACTTCCCCGATAGCTCACCTTTTCAGAAAGTCGGGAAACTGGAGTTCCTGCTCGGAGTAAGAGACTTGGCCTTCTCCTTCTTCTTCCTCGTGTTCCCTCTCGTACTCTGCAAAACGACAACAAACAGGGGGCAAAACTGAGCATGGTCGAAATGGCCGCCACCTGATGCGGAGCAAATACGAAAAACAGAGCGGCGGGCGTTCCCGCGGCGCGGCGCCATTTGCATATTGTACGAGGTCGTGACGGCCATGACGGCCATGACGCTCCCCGTCGGCGGGGCGCGGCACCATTATCACTGCGAACCGCAAATGCTGTTATCTGGCGGGGCCGGTACCATCCCCGGCGCCATCGACGAGGCAGCGAGAGGGAGAGGGAGAGAGAGAGAGAGAGAGAGAGAGAGAGAGAGAGAGAGAGAGAGAGAGAGAGAGAGAGAGGGAGAGAGAGAGAGAGAGAGGGAGAGAAAGACAAGAAAAGAGGCAACCGAAGGAGTGAAAAGTGAGGGAAGGAGTGAGAGGACTGATGAGTGAGATGAGTGAGGAGTGAGAGAAAGTGAGAGAGTGAAGAGTAGGAGGAGTGAGGGAAGTGAGGAATGAAAGGAGTGAGGAGTGAGAAAAGGAGGGAGAGAAGTGACAATACGAAGAGGGAGAACAGTGAAACTACGTAAAAGACGCAACGTGACGAAAACGGAAATAAGAGAGGCACAATAAGCGTGACAAGAGTGACAGAAGTGACCGGAGACCGGAAACTTGTGACGAAAGTGAGAGAGTGAGTGATGTGAGTGAGTGAGAGTGAGAGAGGAGTGAGAGAGAGAGAGAGAGAGAGAGAGAGAGAGAGAGAGAGAGAGAGAGAGAGAGAGAGAGAGAGAGAGCGAGAGAGACGGCATGGCAGAGTGGGTCACGGGGGGAGTGGGACGGGGCAGCAGAGATTGCTATTGCTGCTCGTGGTGCTGGCCTGTAGTTGGCGCACGCCGAATCAGCAGCCGCGATCACAGCCGTCCAAACACCTTGCTCCACCGCGCTTGCTTGCTCTCTCTCTCTCTCTCTTAGCCACAAAGAGGCCCACATTACAGCCCCGGCGCCGCGAGACGCAGATAGGAACCGTGAGAACATAAAGGGCATTAAAAACCAGACGCCCGAATAAAAAAACAACAAAATAAAAAGACAAAAAAACGCGTTGGGTCTGACGGGGGAGCATAAAGCACCCGCAGCGCGCCGCGTGGCGCGAGGCTAGATGAGGTAATTAACGGATAAATGGCGCTCGGCTGGACTTAAATGGACCCAAAAGTCCACGGCCGTGACCCCTAAATCAGCCACCACTAAAAAAAAGTCGGTCACTTCCGACGTCTAATTTTGACGCTGTCCTGCATTATCTTTTTTTTGGTTTTAATTCATAGAAGACGCAATTTGCTGTTGATTAATTTTCTCAGCTACAGAGTTGCATTTATAAAAGCTTCTAGTATGCACCAACTTTCAATTTTCGTTTTAAATGAGGGTCTCGTTAAGATAAACTTGTTAAGGTTTAAAGAGTACATTGCAAGAAAAAGTGTGAATAGTACAACAAATGTACAACAAAAACTGTACAATAAAAGTACAACGAGAATTGTACAAACCACAACGAGGCCTGAACTGCACAGAACTCGTCATGCCGGTTCCATTGTACTTTGTACTACAATTGTTGTACTTTGAAAGTACAACAAATACCTGATAAAAAATTTACCAGAAATTTGTGTACTTTTGTTGTGGTATTTTCTTGCAGTGTACGGCGGTTCCTTACCTTCCTCCTCGTCGGGCTGCTGCTCCTGCTCTCGCCGCTCCTCGTCCTGCTGTTCCTGCTGCCGCCGCCGCGCCTCCTCGGCGGCCCGCACGACGTCGGGGTCCTCTGCAACGACAAAGGGAGGACGGGGATCATCGTCATGTCCACGGAGTACGGGGGGCGCACGGCTCGGCTCGGCGGTCTGCAGACTGATCACGAGAGCCCTTTCCGTCGGTCTGTCTCTCTCGCACCTATTGGGAACGCCCCGTGAGAGCGAGTGAGACAGAGCGACGAAAACGACTCTCGGAATGAGCCTGCCGGACCGCTGAGCCCCTCGGCTGCGGCCGTGCCGCCACCAAGGCACTTCACAAGGGGCGATCCACCTCGGGGGCGTGCCGCGCAGTTTCATAAACACAGCGCTCGCACACACAGACACACACACACAGACGCGGGCGTAAATCTGGGTACGGGGGAATCACGTACAGAATATCTTCATACCGCCAAGAAAGGGCGGATTGCTCAAAGGGCCTGGGGCAGGGCCCACGCCGGGCGGGGCCCAGGCGGGTTAAAATTGGTCGCCCCCGCCGCCACGCCCCGCCACGCCCCACCCCACGGTGGCGGCCCGAGGGAGGTCTCGAAGGAGAAGCAACAAAGTGGCTGCAATCTGGGGCGGAGGCGCCAAAACGAACGATAAACAATGCCTTAATTTTTTCCGAAGCGGCGCTTCGGCCGGCCCCGCCCCCGTCGCACAGTGGGCCAGAAGACCGGTGGAGGCGGACAAAACTCTGGACGCGTTTCGAGCTCCAGAGTCGCTAAACAGGCCTCGAACCAAACGTGTGACCCCACCAATGGATTCCTCGTTCGGAGAGCAATCCATAGGTGGGGTCACACGTTCGGTTCGAGTCCTTGCTTAGCGACCCTGGAGCTAAAAACGCGTCCAGAGTTTTGTCCGCCTCCACCGGTCTTCTGGCCCACTGTGCGTCGTACCCCGTTCGTTCCTCGCACTGCACGCGCCAGGCCGGCCGACCCGTCGACCCGCCGGCCCGGGGTCTTGAATAAGGCGACCCGTGTAATGCCCCGAATATGAAAATGCAAATACCGCCAATTCGGGGAATTGAGGTGCTCGGCGTGCGGAGAGACGAGGCTGCCCGAGGCTGCCGTGCCAAGCCCGCAGGGAAGCCCCAGCCGGGGGCGCCTCTTAAACCGCGCAGACAGACCCGGAGTGCTGGTCCGGGGCAGCAAACATGGAGAGAAAAAGGCTGGGGGGCAACCTCCACAGTCCGCAGGCAGGGAGTGCATGTGCACGCCGGCGGTTGTTGCACAGTGTGCGCGCAGCTCAGTCCCCGCCCGCACTCGACTCGACATTTGGCGTGCGTCGTAATGCGATATGCTGCCACTGGTTGGCAGGCCTGCGCCGCTCCCTCGTCGCAGCGCCGTCGCGCACGGAGGGGCACTTCCGCGTCGCGGGGAGAAAGGGACGACGCCGGGCGCGAGTAGAGGGGGCAAAAATTATTTGATTTGCCCGCAAGCCGCAACAAAAAGCGCCATTCACAGAGAAAACCTCAGTCGGGTCTCTCTCTCTCTCTCTCTCTCTCTCTCTCTCTCTCTCTCTCTCTCTCTCTCTCTCTCTCTCTCCCCTCATATTTCGAGTTTTAAAACCTTGTTTCTTTCTACGGCAAAAGTTGGTAATATTTTTGCTGCGCTGGCGAATAAATATCCCCCGTTCCCACCGCCGCCGCGCGATGAAGAAAAGAAACGTTGAACTCGGGAGGGAATAGGTGTGGCAAAGACCCCGGGAACGCTGCTGCGGGACGAAATGATATCATGAGGGATGATGGGGCGAGGCGAAGGTGCCGAGATGAGATGGCGGCGTTTTCGGGAGGTGTAGTCGCGTTAATAACGCAAAGTGCAGCAGGCAGCCAGGCAGGCCGGCAGGCAGCCAGGCAGGCCGGCAGGCAGCCAGGCAGGCAGGCAGGCAGTCAGCTAGCTCAGGGCGGGACTCAAAACAATAAGGCCAAGGCGAAGGGCTCCGGAGCCGCCTCCGGCTAATACTGGATCCACGGAGGCGGCGGCGCGGCTTGGCACTCGCGAGGCGGGGCGTGGCGGGGCGGGGCGTGGCGGGGCGGGGCGTGGCGGGGCGTGGCAGGGTGAGGCGGGGCGGCGCGCGTGGCAGCAGACGAGTGCGCGGCGCAAATTATTCCGCCCTCTTAAAAGACAATGAGTGGCCCGGCAAGCTGAAATTAAGTCGTCGTCGTCGCGTCGACGCGCCCATCGACAACACGGCCGTCCGTGGCGCGCCCCGCCCCGCCCCGCCCGCCTCGCCCCGCCCCCCCGCCCCGCCCCCTCGCCCCGCCCCCCCCACCCCCCCCGCCCCGCCCCGTCCGCACGACGCCCTCCTCGACAGCAGCAGAATAACTATCAATATAATGAAACGGGGGCTCCCGGCGCACAAACTCCCCTTCCTCGCCGCCGCCTGTCAGCAGCCGCTACGTGACACGCACGAGCACGACCCGCCCTCCGGACACGGACACACACACACAAACACACACACACAACGCCGGGGAGGGGACAATGCCACAATAGTGCGCACACGGCAAACAAAACGCCCCCTTTTAATGACGCTCGCAGTGACACTTATGTTTTTCCGGGTGGCCGGCCGGCCGCGCCATAAATCACCTGCGGGCTGATGCCGAAGCGGGGCTCTCTCTGTCTCTCTCGCACTCGCGGCGCCTCGCGGCCGGCCCGACGGGGCGCGAGAGAGACAGAGCGATGACGACGGCGGCGGGCAGCACAACGGCGCGGCGGCGGCAGGGCGTCACTCGATTGACACATTTTGATCGGGGCACAACGGAGCGGGGCGGGCGAGCAGGGCGAGCAGGCAGCGGGCCGCCCCGCAACACAAAGCGCCGATCACGCGCGGCGCGCCAACAAAGGAACGGGGCCACTGGGTATGGAGAGTGTGCAGTGTGTGCGCGCACCGCGGTGTAGTGGTTCACTACTGTGGTTCACCCGGCCCCGGGGATACCGACCGCTTTTTCCCCACAGCCGCCTCGGGCATAAGGACGGGGCGGATCGAGCACGATGCCAGCAGTGTCGCGCGGTGGGCCACGGCCAGGCGGTCAAAACCGAGGGGGCCACCACTCTCATTTCAGGCGTACACAAGATTACGGGGTAACGGGATATTTATCAGGGATTACGCGTGAAATTTTCGAAAATTGGTTCGAAAACGTTGAAAAATGACTCAAAAACGTTGAAAAATGACAGAATTTTGTCAAGTATTACGTGATTACGCCATGGATTACCAGAGATTACCAGCAAACTTGTACACAGGATTACGTGGGTGGTGGCCCCCTCGGTCAAAACCCCGGACGTGGTTTGAGCTCCAGCGTCGCTGAATGGGACTCGAACCGAACGAGTGACCCCACCAGTGGATTGCTCTCCGAACGAGGAATCCATTGGTGGGGTCACACGCTCGATTCGAGTCCTGTTTAGCGACGCTGTAGCGCAAAATGCGTTTTGGCCGGCGGCGCTAGTCTTCGCTTCGGACCCACTGTGGGGCAGGGCGGCTAGACTCTGCGCTGCCGGACGGACAGGCAGCCGAGTGAGGCATTCAGACAGCCCGCTTCGCTTTCAGACCAAACAACGCTGCAGCTCCTACAATAGCGGCGCTCAGCTCAAAGTGTGACGTTCCCAGCTTGGAGGCGGCGGGCAGGCAGGCCCGGGCCGGGCAGGCTGCCCCCGCAATACTCGTCTGCACTTCTGTCTCCGCGTGCAGTGCCCCTCAAAAGCAGTCCAGCCGAGCTGAATCCCCCTCCTCCTCGGCGGAGGAACCTCAGCCGCCGCTCCACTCCGCAGCCACCCGACCCGTCGCGACCCTTCTTGGAAAAGGACGGTGTTGCGGGGCGGCAGCGTCGGGTAGCTTCAAACAATTTCGCGCTTCTCCGAAAGGGATTCTTCGTCACTCTGTTTTGAGCTCCTCGGGAACAGTAGCGGATCGAGAAGAGGCCCGCCACGACAAAAGCAGTACCTGGAAGGCGGCTTCTGGAAAAAAGACCCCCCCCCCCTTTTCCGGAGAGGGGCTGAGAGTTTCAGGTTTTCGCCGAGAGGGGGCAAAGTAGCATTCTTTGCCTTCGTACAGAGGCACAGTGCGAACTTTTGCCTGCCTTCCAGACGGCTATCTAACGACAATTTGTTCTTTTGTCCTCCCCTCCCCGTCCCCCTACTGGATCCCCGCCTGCTCGGTAGCAGCGCCCCTGGCGGGTAGGCACTGCGCGCACAGGCCAGTGCAGCGGGCTTGCCTACCCCGCTCAAGGCAGGCTGAGGCCGTGCAGCAGACTGATTCCGAGGATCGTTTTCGTCGCTCCGTCTCTCTCGCACTCATGGGGTGTCCCGTACAGGTGCGAGAGAGACAGAGCGATGGAAAACGATCCTGAGAATCAGTGTACTACCGCATCAAAAATTAAGCCGTCGCTACCCCTCGGCTCAGTCCCCCCGAATCGAAGTTCCTCGGGCGGGGGGTAGCGCCCAGCCCACGGCTCGCCTCTCTTTTCTCCCCCGGAGTGCAGTACACTGTACACAGCACACCGGGCGCCGCCTTCTCCTTCCTTGGCGACGACTGCACGATAAACACGTGTCGCGCGACGCGCCGCTCTCACGCCCGGCACGGCACGACACGGCACGGCACGGCACGGCACGGCACGGCATAGCACGGCACGGCATAGCACGGCACGGCAAGGCACGCAAACACGCATCGAGTGTTCTCAAGCGGCTCGGCGCGGCGGGGCGCTTGACTGCACCTCACGACACACAACACTCTCACGCACGCCTCCCAGACACGAGTGTGGCGTGAGCATCCCGAGCGCCGTTTCCGACGCACCGCGAAAAAAAAAAGGAACAACAAGAAGCGAAAGCAGCGACGAATCAATTTCCCTGCCACCGCCACGCCTCGACGATGAGGCCGGTGACGCCCCTTTCCAGTGTTGCTGAATGCAGGAGGCTGCTTCCGAGAGGCGCTTTCGTCGCGCTGTCTCTCTCGCACTCATGGGGCGGCCCGTACAGGTGCGAGAGAGACGGAGCGACGGAAACGACTCTCGGAATCAGTCTGCAGGTGTCGCCGGCGAGGTGGG